ACGTGCTCTAGTTATCACAAAATCAATTTCATTCCCAGTAGATAATAATTGTGATGGTTAATGACGAATTTAAAAGAAATTGCCTATGTAATACGCGCTAAGTACATCGGACTCGTTTCCGAACGGTCAGGTTTCCGGTTCGGGTACCCTGTTATTTCTTGCAGTTAACCTCTAAAATGCTGCTTGCCGTGTGTACGTTGACATTTATCATTATAATATTTGGACTGATATGCAATTTTAGACTACGTTTACACCGCATCCTTTTAAAAGTCTGTCGTGGCTTTGTATGCTGTAGAGTTAACAGACTTCTAATTGGAGGAGGTTAAGTATGACTATATTTCCAATTGACTTTAAAAAGTTGTATTTTTTTACGTTTATTACTCTGATTCTGTTTTGGGAAATTCTTTTTTATCTATAAAAATATACTTATAGATTGATCCCATGGAAACTTTAATAAAATCGATTCAATAGTTTAGTTATCAAAATAACTGGTAATTAAAGCTGATTATTATCATTATTAGACGTTATTATTTTTACTAATTTTGAACCTTTTTTTCCATTATTCATGAACTTTTGAAGCGAAATCTGTCTAACACTAAATATAAATATGATTGTTTCCTCAATACCAAAATTAGTGTTGAGGAAATATATTTTATATAGGAAATAATATTTTCTCGGTATTAATTGATTTATTAATTAATCACGTTCAAACAGTTTTTATTATGGATTTAAAAATAATTGAATATACAGATTTTTTTATGAGTTTTCGAACTGCAAATTAGCAGACAGCTCACCTGATGGAAAGTAATAACACTGAGAACTATTGTGTGGTAAAAGTTATATTCTAAATTTTTTTTTTTATATAACTTAGTACGGCAGACAAGCTGACGGCCCACCTGATGAAAAGTAATAACCGTCGCCTATAGACATCAACAGTACCATAGACATAACAGAGAGTACTCGTATACTGTCTCGCCCATAATATTCTTCATGCGTTGCCATTCCTGAGGACTAATCTGTTATGGCCCTGTACCCTATAATTTCATTGCTATACCCCACCCTTCAAACCGTAACACAGCCATGCAAATACAACTGCTTCACAACACACACGAATGGGACAAAGGTACTCAAGCAGAGGACTTTTGTACAAAGTCTGTCTCTCTCTTCCTCTTTTGTCATCAAAATGTTATATCCATGGTATTGCTCATGTCTATAGGCGACGATTACCACTTTCCATTAGGTGGGCCGTCAGCTTGTTTGCCATTTTAAGTTGTATAAAAAATGGATAAAAAATATCTTATAATTAAGTTTATGTAATTAATTATTCTTTTTTTATATATTGTTAATCTTTATAATCTGTATCATTCTTTAAAGGGAACAATAAAGAGTCATTCATTCATTCATTTATTCATTCATTTATTCATTCATTCATCCATTCATTCATTCTATAAATAATATTATAAATTATGTAAGATTTTACTCATTTATATTAGATACACGATTGAACCCAAGGTTACAGTTATTTTTATATAAATATATCAAAATGACTACATTAATATATGCATTGAGCGCAAATACATCATATTATATTCAACCTATACCAGTTTATCTACAACTTATCATAGTTTAGGTAATGAGTGAGTAAGTATGTAGTTTATAGTAGACGTGGATAATATATAGCAATATCTATATACTCGAGTTACAATATCTGTATACTGGTACCTTAACAAATGTGTTAAAAGTCTGGTGGTCTACCATGAAATGAAATTTCGAATTTTCATGCTCAATTTCGTGTTTTTGTTCATACCGAAATCGACCCAGTAAATGGAGCTTAACATTTCGTTTTACATAAAAACTATCCTAATAGTGCAGAGGAACGATATTTTTACATTTTTAAACGACATGTATAATGTAATTTTATTACCAAATTTCTGTTTCGTTTCGTATCGGAAAATACTTCATGGTAGGCCCACTGTTATCCAAATAATAATATTTAATAACAGACTTTTAACATATTCGAAAATAGATATCCGACCGATATGGACGATATCGAAATGAGTGATGCATTTTTTCCCGCCATCAATATTCACAGAAACCCAATATATAGATATCGGTTCGGTATCCATAATACCAGTGCCTAGTTTGTAAACAAACGTGATAGGGTTTTCTTAAAGTAAGCTATTGTTTTCATAACAAGATAGCTTTATCAGTTTTATAAACTAGAATACCAAATAAAATGACGTCCCATATGACGAGTACTAGTTATCATCACGTATACCTACATATCGAACTGTTACTACACCTGAGAACTGAGTATTTGTTATAATAACTAGTTTTCGCCTGCAGTCTTGCACACGTATTGTGTTTCCCCTCTAATAAGAATTTTTCTAAACTAAACCTAAACCAGAATGTTTTTAACATCTCTGTAAATTATTAATTCTTATTTATTCCTTTTTTTCCGTCTCTAGGGAAAGTAGATAAAGTTTTATTTGAGAAATCAGTTTAGTGTACGATAGGGCTGATATACCTGAAGAAGGTAAAAGCCCTTAAAAATATATAAAAAAAATCTTTTTTTAACGAATGCTTGCGTTATTTAGTTATTATTAAATAAAAACCAACAGCTATAGAATTTCATTATAACAAAAGAAAAAGGAAATTACAGATTTTGATAAATGAAAACAAAATTTAATTAGATGTGTATGACATTAAAATAACCTATTTGTAGCTTTATTTTTATAAGCCCACGATTCAAATTTCAGTTTTCTAGACTTAGTAATTTTGGTTGATAATTAGTGAAGACAAAAGATTTTATAAGTAAAGATTATCTTAAGTTATTATGTCAACTGTTAAATGTCCACTTTTGAACATAAGCCTTTCCCATAAGGGGAATTTTGCCAGTATTTACCAAGCTTGTCAGACGGATTGGCAAGCGCAGGCTTTTAGGACCGCCTTACTGTACTTATACAACTGTATCGTTATATTTGTTAACAGTCTTGCTAATTCCTTATATTCTGTAATGCAAATAAAGTATACTCATTCATTCATTCATTCATCGTCTTTCATAAAATGAAACCAATATTAATAATTACACGCCAATTATTTACTATGAAACAACCGTACGCTTGTTTGTCATCAATGTAGTATGTACCAATAAAAAAGTCAAAGTTCAGCTAACTTGCATTGGTCAATGTCGTGAACCAACAAACGTTTTTTAATGCTGTTAAAATTTTTTCCAATATGTGATAAATTCGCGTCATAGAAACGAATAAATTTCATTTGATTGGTGCGAAGGGCAGTGACCTCGCGATGTCTGTTACAATGTTAATTCATATACGAGTAAGTACATACAATAGACTTTTTTTAATGCAACTTAGAATGGCAAACAAGCTGACGGCCCACCTGATGGAAAGTGGTAACCGTCGCCTATAGATATGAGCAATACGAGGTCTGTCCGGAAAGTTCGTATAAAAGTGTTCTGGAATGCGAGAAAGAGGAGTGGGGAGGCCAGGTAAGCGCAGGACCCCTTCCTTATGTCCCTAACAATGCTTCAGTTCTGGTCTGACCGCCGTGCGGTGCGAACTGGCTTGTCACGCCATCTGTGAAGTTACCTCTTAACGAAACCCCGTCGGCATGGAGCCCGCTTCCGTTGAAGAGCAGCGCGTCGTAATCAAGTTTCTCTCGAAACTCGGCAAGAATGGCCGTGAAATTTTTGCCGATCTCAGAACAGTTTATGGGGATGATGCTGTGAAGGAACCAACCGTCCACAAGTGGCTAAAAAGATTCAGAGAGGGCCGAGAAAGCGTTCAAGATGACCCACGTTCAGGACGTCCTTCCACTTCACATTCCGACGAAAACGTGGAAAGAATTCGAACTTGTGTTAATGGGGACCGTCGTTTAACGGTCAGACAGGTGGCTGAAGAGCTTAATTTGGGCAAAACCGTGGTCCACGAAATTCTAAGAAACGAACTTCAAATGAAAAAAATTTGCGCCAAGATCGTTCCGTGAGTTTTTGAGTAAAAATTCCATTACGGTGACCGAACACCCCCCCTATTCGCCGGATTTGGCCCCGTGTGACTTCTTCTTGTTCCCAAAAACCAAATTGGTACTTCGGGGGCGGCATTTGGGGGACATAAATGAGATAAAAAAAGCTACGACGGGGCAGCTGAGAAACCTACAACCAGAGGACTTTCAAGGAGCCTTCTCACAGTGGAAACGGCGTTGGCACAAGTGCATTATGTCACAGGGGGAGTACTTTGAAGGGGATAAAATTGATTTACCTGAATAATTGTAAAATAAAATTTTTAAAAAACTTTTATACGTACTTTCCGGACAAACCTCGTACTATGGGCATAACAGAGTATACTGTTTCGCCCATGATACCCCCCAATGCGTTGCCATCCTTGTTATTCTTCTGTACCCTGTAAATTCACTGCCATATCACACCCTTCAAACCGAAACACAGCCATGCAAACACAACTGCTTTACGGTAGAAACACGAATGCGACAGAGGTGCCCAAGGAAATTACTTTTGTACAAAGTCTCCCTCTGGTGATGAAGTATGATTTGTGTGATCAAAAAATCTTTTAATCAATCACACAATTTTTCTGCTGTAATGTATGATAATGGAATGGTAACCCCGCTTGTGCTATCGGTATTGTAGTGAATGTAATGAAACGTCTCGAGTGTGAACAACAACTACTTTATTACTGTAGTACCCACATATATATTTATTTTATAATTACCCACGACATCTCCCCCCAAATTATATAAAACAAACAATGTAATCAAGTTCTAAAGAATATAACAAAAGGGTACACTCTATCTCCTTAAATATACTGTATTATATATGAATTGTACAATACTTCTTATATACTATATTAAGTAACCCATCACCTTAATTACCCGTTATAAAAAAAAAAATGAAATAGAAATAAAAAATAGAAACATTTATGTATATATATAATATAAAAAGTATTTTATAAATAATAAGTATTTTATTTTTACAATTTTTTCCGTAGGCGTTGAATAGCCACTGCTTTAGCTTTGCGGATGAGCTGTTCACTATTAAGATTCGAAGCCTCGTCACTGCTAGTACATGAATACTCACACGCATCGTTAAATTGTTCGTCTTTACCATGGTCACTATGCATTGCTTGTGGATCACTTTCACACCTAATCAAGTGACGGCGATTTCGCCTATACCTGGCACCGACACTATTTTTGACAATGTAAGAACGAGGAGTGTCAGCGCGCCCCACTATCTTTCCTCTGCTCCTAATCTTTCCATCTATACAGATTACTGAGTCACCTTCTCTTAACATAGGAAGAGTTTTACTGTGCTGATCATAGTACATTTTATTGTTATTTTGTTTATGTAACATAGTTTGGTACTCAGAAGGATCGACAGGTTTTGGTTTTAACAGATTTTCATGTACTGGCAATTGACAACGCAACCTGCGACCCATCAGCAACTGCGCAGGAGAACTCAACCCATCCCTAGGTGTATTTCTATAGTTAAGAAGAGCTAAATCAAAATCTCCGTTACTTTTAATAGATTTATTTAAAATCATTTTAATAGTTTGAACTGCGCGTTCACTTTTACCATTCGCCTGCGGGTAATTCGGCGAGGACGTCACATGGTTGAAACCCCACACATTAGCAAAATTTTTGAACTCTCGGCTAGTGTATTGAGTCCCGTTATCACTTATCAGTACCTTGGGTATGCCATGACGTGAAAAAATATTTTTTATGTTTTGAATGACTAAGTTAGAAGTTAAATTATTTAATTTACATACCTCTATATAATTAGAATAATAATCAACAATAATTAGGAAATATTTACGATTAAATTCAAATATATCTGAGCCGACCTTTTCCCACGGCAGAGCTGGAATCTCCATAGGAAGCAATGGCTCCTTAGCAGGTCTGTTTGAGTGCTCCTGACAGGTGTGACATCGCTTTACAAACTGCTCTATGTCACGTGACATACTCGGCCAAAACATAACTTGCCTCGCGCGCCGCTTGCACCGATCTATACCTAGATGCCCTTCATGAACTATTTTTAACATTTCTTCTCTTAATTCTTTAGGTATAAGTACCTGATCCTGTTTAAATATAACATTATCGACTATCAAAAGCTCATCTTTTATCGACCAATATAACTTTGCTTCATTTGCAACGTTATATTTGTGCTTAGGCCATCCGTAATTTATATAATTTAATAATATATTAAGTTCATGATCATTTTTAGTTTTTCTTTTTATTAATGTGAGTTTATCATTTGAAATAGGAATGTTTTGAATAATAATTTTCACCTGGTAAGTTATATTAGAATGCATTTCTTCACTATATAGATCGGGAAGCGCCGCACGAGACAACATATCGGCTATAAACATATATTTTCCTGGCACGTATGTTACAGTCAAATCGTAACACTGTAACCTCAGTAACATACGTTGCAGACGCGCCGGGACAGACGCTAAAGGTTTTTTAAATATTCCTTCTAAGGGTTTGTGATCCGATTCCACAATGACGCCCTTTTGCCCATATATGTACTGATGGAATCGTTCACAACCAAAAACGATAGCTAACATCTCTTTTTCCACCTGTGCATACCGGGTTTGCGCATCTGTAAGCGTACGGGAAGCGTATTCGACGGGGCGACCGCCTTGCATCAACACTGCGCCCAGTGCATTTCGCGATGCGTCCACAGACAACCGCACTGGCTGCGTCGGATTGTACAGCGCCAGCACGCCCGCTCCACACACACACTCTTTGAGTTGGTCGAACGCGCTTTGCTCGCTATCCTCCCACCGCCAGTAATTATCTTTCTTCAATAGACTTGTTAACGGAATGGCTATTTCTGAGTAATTTGGAATAAATTTTGATAAGTAATTTACTGCCCCTAAAAACCGCTCGAGATCTTTTTTATCTTTTGGTATTTGCATTTCTTTAATGGCTTTAATCTTATTATAATCCGGTCTCATTCCCTTAGAATCAAACACATGGCCCAGAGAAGTCACTTCCTGAACTCCAATTTTGCATTTCTGTTTATTAAATTTTAAGTTTATTTCCTTCGCTCTATTTAATAACGCTTTCAATCTCATATCGTGAATCTGCCGAGTTTCCCCCCATACTATTACATCGTCAACATAATTATCTACACCCTCCAGGTCTTCCAGGTGTTGACGTAATTTGGCGTGAAAAACCTCTGACGCGCAATTAATACCAAACGGCAGACGTAAAAATTGATACCGTCCAAAAGGCGTGCTGAAAGTGCATAAGTCCGCGCTCTCATCATCCAGTACCACGGCCCAGAAGCCTGCGTTTGCGTCAAGAACTGAAAAGTATCGAGCTCCGTGTAAGCGAGATGCTAATTCCGACACAGTCGGCAACTGGAAGTGAGCACGTTGAATAGCTCTGTTCAGTTCTCGTGGATCCAAGCACACCCTGATTCCATTATCCTTTTTCGCCACCAACACCAGAGGATGTACCCATTGAGTTGGATGATTCACCTTCCTGATGACCCCTAAATCTACCATTTTATTAAGCTCCTGTGCTAAGCGATCGCGTAACCCATGAGTAATTTTCCTCGACGCACATATGACAGGTGGAACCGAGCTATCAGTTACTATGTGATACTTTCCGGGCAAACACCCTAAACCTTTAAATAAGTCATTATAGTTGGATAGTTCAATAGACATTATACGCTTGATTAGCCCTAACTCCTCGCAAGAGTTCCGTCCCAGCACGCTGCTACATTCTATGTCCGCTACAGCAAATTTGAGATTATAAATAATATTTTTATAATACCAAGGTATAGTACAGATTCCTTTTAATGGAATCGTGTCATGCGTGTATGATAATAAAGATATATTCTTTTTTACAATTATGTTCGGATCGAAACCTAATTTTAAAAATGTACTATAGGATATTATGTTACAATCGGCCCCCGAGTCCAATTTAAAATTTTCATGTCCATTTTCGCACGTTAATATTTGAAACCAGCCCCCTGAATGGTCACCACAGTCGACGGACGAAATATAAAAAATATCATTTTCCGGTTCACTACTCACAACATCACATTCCACTCCATATACTCGCCCGGCCCGAGCGCGGCCGGCGTTATGAAAAAAATTATTTGACTTACACATGCGCGCGAAGTGTCCATGATTACCGCAAACGTAACAGCTGACTCGTTGCGCGGGGCACTCGCTGTCGCTGCACCGCGCGGAGCCACAAGCGCGGCACGGAGACCGCGCGGCCCGCGGCGCAAGCGCATCCGCGGCCGGCCCCCTGCGGTTGATTCCGCGCGCCGCGCCGCTCGCCGCCCGCCGCGGCCAGCCGCGCGCCGCCGACCGCCCGCGACCGCGCGCCGACACCGCGTCCACGCGCGCCGTGTCACCACTCGACCCTATCTGACGGCAGCTCTCCTGGGACACCTCCTCCGCTTGGCAAATTTTTATGACCTTATCTAGGTTGAGGTCATCGCACCGCAACAGTCTGTCCCTGACAGTGGAATGTCGAATTCCACAGACGATTCTATCCCTGATCAACTCCTCTTCCAGGGTGGTGAACTCGCATGTTTTGCTCAGAAGACGCAGGGCGGTGACGTATTGTTGTATAGATTCCCCTTCATCTTGGTTACGCGTAAAAAACTTGTATCTCATTAACGTTACATTCGGCTTTGTTCCAAAATAATTATCAAACTTTTTCATCAATACCGCGACGTCATCGCGCTCACTGTCTTCGTCGAATGTGAACGTTTGATATACATCGAAGCCATCCGGGCCGATTAGATTTACCATTAGACTAGCTTGGACACTCGAGCGCTCCGAGGCTACACCAGAAGCCTTCAAAAATAACATGAATTGTTGTTTCCATTTTTTCCAAGCGTCGGCCCGGCTTACGGGGCCACCGTCCATATTTAATTCTGCAGGCGGACGCGCGTGCTCCATTATTACACTTTATACTACACCACACCAACACAATGACACAAATATATTTCTAATACTATTATTTAATGTTATACACTGATTTATAACAATTTTAAACACGTTAAGGATTCGTAATCTTTTATACCGCTGTCACCATGTAGTGAATGTAATGAAACGTCTCGAGTGTGAACAACAACTACTTTATTACTGTAGTACCCACATATATATTTATTTTATAATTACCCACGACAGGTATACGCAGGCATGGCGCCTGGATATACTGATAGGGATGCTAGGTGAGAATGAAAAGGCAGGGCAGTTAGCCCATCGTGATGAATACACCTGGAATTCAGCACGATGGTTTCCAGGGGGGACCACGTGGAGGTCGTCCTGTTGAGGTATATTGCTAGTAATGGGCCTATTAGAACTCATTAGTAACAATTTCTGTCCCCCCCCCCTGTTATACAGGGTAGCTATTCCAAAGATGTATAAAAATATTGTAGGTACATAACACACACATATACAGGTAGAGACTGGCTGAAAACCAGCGCTGTGCAGCTGTACACATTGCACTTGGACACTCACAGCATCAGCTGAGCCAGTTTCTTTTGCCTAATATGAGATACTTCTTATATATTGACCAGAGAGAGACTTTGTACAAAAGTCGTTTGCTTGGGCAACTCTAAGGGTGGGATATGGCAGTGAATTTACAGGGTACAGAGGGATAACACCTGAGTCCTCAGGAAAGGCAACGCATGGGAAAAACAGTATACACTTATGTCCATGGTACTGCTCATACCTATAGGCGATGGTTACCATTTTACACATCGATGTACTATAAAAAATTTTTTTTATATATTTTGTATTTTTCTTTGTAATTGTGTTTTGCTGGCAATAAATATTTTCTATTCTATTTTATAACATCTCGTCATTTGTATTTCAAGTAAGTCTGGTGAATCATGGACTTTTTGTATATGTTACGTGACATTCGTCATATATACCAGTCTCTATTGTTATTTCCGCGTCGATCAATGAGGTCAAGCGACTTTTAATGTTGCTATCCGTTGGATGGGTGACCGTACTGAATGTTTAATGCAATAATCGTTGCATTATACATTCATGTATTTACACTATAAATATACCACATAATACACTGTGACACTTTTTTTATACAACTTACTGACGGCCTACCTGATGGAAAGTGGTAACCGTCGCCTATAGACATGAGCAGTACTATGGACAAAACAGAGTATATTGTTTCGCCCATGATACCCCCCATGCGTTGCCATTCCTGAGGACTCAGGTATTCGGTATTCCTCATGTGTTGCCATTCTCAGATTAGGGTATGATAAGGCTGGCATATCCTTATAGGATAAAAGCCTCTAAATAAAAAAATTAAAAAAAAAAAACAATTAAAATGTTATACCTGTGTCCCATAAACCAATGCTTACTTTTTAAACCGGGGAAAATGGGATTGTGTGAAAGTAATGCGATCTAACTATATCTCCACCCGGTTCTCTCTAAAAACCATCATAATTTATTATTCTTGAATTCATCACGATAGGCCAACTAACCTGCTTTCATCCTCACCTATCATCTGTCACTAGTGTCCCACCAGCGTATACCGATAGCGCAGGCGGGGTCACCATTTCATTTTCACCCGTTAAAAAAACTCAAGAAACAAATAACAAATGTAGCTCTAGTGAAATGCCCCTTAAGTATTTTAGCCAATTACCCCTTTTTTCAAAAATTTATATTTGTATATATCCAAAATGTCGATTTTTAAATAAACTTACAAGCAATATAAAGCAGCGTGTACACATTCCGAACTATAAATTAACAGCTCGAATTAAAATAAATACCGTGAAAACATTATTTTGGAGACGATTATTTTATCATACGATGATGATGACGTGCTGTAAATATTATCATCATCATTCATTATTATCCCACCGTTGGGCATAAATCTTTCCCACTAACAGAATTAACCTCCTATTAGTAGACTAAGCCTCTTATTCATAAAAAGTTAAAAACAAAGTTCTTTAACAAATCTATTTTACCTTTTTTTTATACCACGAAGGTGGTAAACAAGCATACAGCCCGTCTTATGATAAACGGTCACTGTAGCCTATAGACGCCTGCAACACTACAGGTATCACGTGCGCCTTATCGACCCTGAAGAAACTTTAATATACCCCCCCCCCCCCTACTTACATAAATCCCATAATAAATATTACACTATTCTATGTCACTTTTTTCAAATTGAGAATTTAGTACAAAAGAAAGAGACAAAATAGTTCATTCAACAGCTAAAGTAGGTTTATGAGAAATTTCACTTTTTTATGAATAAGAAGGTATATATCCAAAAAAAAGGTGCGTACAGGAAATACCGAGCAAGGCAGGTAGGTTATTATATAGCATTATTTTGATACACACACACACACACACACATATTTATAACTAATAATTTACGTATACAATGTAATTCGGCAATTGTAATGCGACATACAATGTATTTGTGGGAGCGCGTAATTTTGTTTGGATAAAAGGTTAAACGGAGTCCACCGTATATTGTGGCGATAATGAGTTAACAGTACATAGTAACAAAAACCCATTCAAGTGCAACTCGTATTTCTGCAGTTCGTTTAAAATAATTTCCAATATTTTTCCTTTATTTAATTTATTACTTCGTCACATAAAATTTACACCAAATTTTTGTAACAAACAGTTTGTTCTTTAAAAATACAACTGTGAAAACCGTATCCAATTAAATGTAGTACTTTTTAAGTAATGCCTAAATAAATATACAGACAGACACAAAAACAAATATTTCAAATAATTTTATCTTCTATTGCATATCTTCTACATCGTCAAGACTACTCTTATAATTTGTCCTTAAATAAAATCTTTTTTTATTTATTTATTAAACTTTAATACACCTAGTGTAAATGGCGGATACCATATGACGTTATCTATCAGTCGATCATAGACAGAAATAATATAAAGGTTGCAACCAGAGGGAGACTTTGTACAAAAGTCGATTGCTTTGGTACCTCTGTCCCATTCGTGTTTCAACCGTGAAGCAGTTGTGTTTGCATGGCTGTGTTTCGGTTTGAAGGGTGGGATATGGCGCGAATTTAATGGGTACAGAGGAATAACACCTGAGTCCTCAGGAATGGAAACGAATGGGGGATATCATGGGCGAAACAGTATACTCTGCTATGTTCATGGTACTGCTCATGTCTATAGGCGACGGTTACCACTTTCCATCAAGTGGACCGTCAGCTTGTTTGCCATTCTAAGTTGTATAAAAAAAACGTGATGAGCAAAGAAATAAAAAAAACAATATTAAATTAAAACAGTAATTTAAAAATAACGTACATATAATACTCACGTTAGCTAAATTATACATACCATCTTCTATTTACAATTTTATTATATCATATTATATAAAAACAGAACTTTTTTATTTGTTTTAATTCATAAAAATAATGCTATTGTAAGTGTAAACGCAACTTAATACAAGTCGATTGCATAGCAACTCCGCAGGCAATCGGACGCCCGCCTACCGAATCGGAGTAAGTCAAAAATTGCAAAAAAAACGACAGGCTTATCACCCGCTTGTATCATCACGAGCACTTACGCGCCGCACTCGATTTGTACGAAATAAAAAAGATTTCAATGGTACGAAATTATTACGCTCATTCGGCTGATAGTTATCGAAACTTTTCCACTGTATATTTGTTAATGACATATTATTTAGAAAAGAAACACAATTGCCCAATAGATATTTATTTACATACATTATTAATTTATATATTTAAATCTAAAGATTATTAAATATTTATGAATAAAAATAATTTGAAGTAAACAACCTGTAACCTGTAAACAGCCTGAAAAATAAGCAAGCTAAAGTGACAATGGGCTGGTCATATAGCTCGAAGAACTAACAACCGACGAGGAAGAAACGTTCTTGAGTGGCGACCCCGTACAGACAAACGCAGTGTGGGACGACCCCCTACTAGATGAAGTAACGACCTCAAAATGCATTGCAGGGAGTTAGTGGATACAGATGGCTCAGGACCGTTCCTTTTGGTAATCTATGAGAAAGGCCTCTATGTATGAGGATGATGGTGATGATGAAACAACCATCAATGTACTGAACAATGGATTCTCAAAGTGTTCTATACAAAAACGTGCTAGTCTATTTCTAACTGCACGTGGTTCATACGAGAAAAATTCGAATATGAAAATAGAAATTCTCCGTAATCGGATCATCAAACACATAGGCGTTTTTGTAAATAATGTAAACGTGATACGCTGTGATAGTGTCTAAAACAGTGCGTATAATTAGACAGACTTATTTAATTTTATGAAATTTCCATATCACTAACTAAAATAAAATTATACAAAATTTTATGTAAATCTAACAAATATATATTGTAATAATTAAAAAAAAATAGCCGGCTTATGATTTTCAACCAACTCCAAAAAAGAGGATGTTCACAACTCGACTATATTTTTATAATAATACACCATTATTTTAAAGTAAAATGAAGGATATATAGTAACAGATCTAATTGAAACTGAAAAAGAAGTTGGTAATGTCTAATAATTATTTTTATCTCAACTAGTGACGATGAATAAATTTAATTATTTTATTTATATCATAAGTTTTGTTTGTTTCAAATTCGTTCCACTTTCGTTTCCATTATTATGTCCACTCAGGTATTTTCCTCGATCATTAAAATATTCAATTTGATGTTAAAACCTTCAACGAGTCCGGAGTTTAGTTTATGGTCGTCATTTGTACGCTTTTCTACGTTGAGTTATCGCGCATTCGATGCGCATACGCATTCTACATCTTTTCGATGACTAAAATGCTACTGCCATCTACTACAAAGTGCATTATTTCACTATTAAAATGCACCAATTGAATGAGACAAATTAACTGTAAATAAAACGTCCTACATTGTAAACTATGTACCTACTCATACACTCTCAGTTAAATTAATTCAATAACTTCTATATCATAGACAATTTATTTTTTACTCTTATGAAATAAAATACGAATGATCATATAATTAACGATGAATAAAATAGTCTATGGCATAAATATGCCGATAACAATCCAATACAAACAATTACAGTAGAAATAATACCAATCAGTCGGTCGAAGCCCTCATAGTGTTTACATCGAACAAATTGGCCATATTCAGAAGGGAGACCGAATTAGAAGTACCCGAAACTAACGAGCCTCTTTAAAAGAATTCGTTTAGAAGAAGTGTAGTATATAAAGTCAAAGACAGACACAGATGGAAAAATATTATTAGAGAAACGATGATTCTACTGGGGAGTCACAATACTCAATAACTGAAGAATACAATGAGAGGAGGAGGAGGTAGTACATATATCAAGATAGAAGGAGGGATGTTACAAAAAAGAGCATTAACGGTAAACACTTGTTATAAATGGTTTACAGTAGAACGTGGAGAAAATATTGTCAGTGTATTTAGCGATCTGATAAATGTGCATTGCATATTAGCTGCGGGCTGTCTGTAAATCGGAGCACAGCGACATAACAGGAATAGGTATTTCATATTTTACGGGTGCTCATAAAAAGCAACAATAAACGTTACGTTAACGACTCCCTTGAACTAGGAAGTGATTTGGCTATATTTAGTTGACGCTTCGTTCAACAACTATGCATTTGTCACGGACTGATTTCGCAATAACTGGTTTAAAGTGTCTCGGCTTCTTTGGACGATGTCCGCGGATAAACATCAGTGGCATTTTAGGCCCTTCCCTAAATTAAGGTTAATTGAGTTTTCGATTATATTTATTGAGCCTTCGTCATTTGTTTGTTCATTTAAATAATTAAATAGCTTATTATTATAGTTTTCACACGATTGTTATGCTGATAATAATAAACAACATCCTTATGAATTAGATAATGTTAATGTACTTCATTTACTATCGAGTATTTAACTTGTCAATAAGCATCAACGTAGTGCAAAGTAAAATAATCGTCAGTCGCCAGTATGAATTCAGAATCATTGCAATTATTTCGCATTCACAGCACTATTCTTTAATTAATATAAGAGACAAAAGTTGCGAATGACTAAAATTACATAATATAATACGTTACTCAAATCCAGAAACCCTCTCAGAACATGCAATTTTATTAAAGACAGAAATCTTAATGTTTAACTAAAGACGACAAATAATATATGATCATTATAAGCACTTTCTAATGAAGGTAATGTAAAAATATTTGAATATATTTCAAATAATACTGGAAATAATACGTATAATCATTGACAATAATATATAAATACTACAACTCTAAGACATAAACATGAGGAACAATACTATGAACGTGACAAAACAGTTTTTAAATTAAATTACTACGTATAACTGATAGCTCGGTTACCTGCACTATTAGCTCACAAAAGCAGTCTGGTAACGACATTGTATAAAACTGAAGCACCTCTTGAATTAGACGTCAAATCGATACTTGCATATAATCGCTAGTTTATTTAAATCTTTAATCGATCTTGATTTAAGGAAACACTTCTTCTTGGTTTTCAAATTAACTAGTCAACATTTTAAAGGTGCAAACTTATAGGTTAAACAAATTCAATATCAATGCAAGATATTGGTATCTTATTGGAATATTATCGAGATAAGAAAACCCTATCTGAAATTTGATTTTAAATTTACTCACACGTGTCGATTTATTTGCGGAATAACCAAAGATAAGGAATAATTGTTTACTGTTTCTTTTTCAAGTTTACTTTCATTTCATTCTCCCATACTTGATTGATTTTAAACGATGGATCTCGAATTTAGTCCCTGGTTGAATTCTTTCGTCATGTTTGTATTTCAAATCATATTGTACCTATTTATAATATTTGCTTTTGGCAAGAGTGGCGATTATTCTAAATATAATTATTACAGCAATAACTTGATTTAAACGATAAGAAGAGACCTTTGTCCAATATTACATCCTGTATCTTTAAACATTATCAACATTTAAAAAATGTTGGCCAAGACATGTTAAATACAGTCGGAACAACCGTGATCAATCATCAAGTTGAAGACTTCCTCTAAATTTTTCGGTTGCTTGATAACATAAACGGGGCAATAGATAAGTAATTTATATCTAGCCTTATCGTCCATTGTATACTTTCTTCACGTTATCAACTATCAAATCAGTGCGAGATATGGGTAGGCCTTCTGACATATAGATAATAGAATAGAAGAAATCCAAATTACATAGTAGATTATAGACTGTCACATATTCATTTCTATCAGGAGTAAGAGAAATTACAGGTAATGTATTATTTTTAGTTTTAACAAAATATTCGTGCGAGGTCATTGTTTGATGTGCAGACGGCGGCTCGCGTAAAAACTGTTTTGTCTCGTATCCAACTGAATATAATGTATAATTTACAAGTGTTTACATAATTAGTCATTATCTTGTTCGTTTAAATAATGTATGTAATCAGTAAGTACGAATAGAATCAGACATAGTACCAACCGCTCTAATTTGATTAACAAGTGCCGATAACAATACAAATTTCAATTTATAATAAACCAAAGATAATGAGGTAGACGGTGATATAATTAAACTTAAAATCAAGCAAGAAAATTAAATTTTTATAATAAATTAATTCAGAATTTAAAAGATAGAATCAACGTGAAGGCAATAGTTAGTTACTCTTATAAAATATAATGGAATCAAAATGGTACTACAGGTCATATAAAACGAAAATAATTTTTAATATATTAATGCGTAACAAAATAATCTTTAATCAAATAAACTAAAAAAATAATATTAAGTACAAAAAAAATCTACAACCAAATAGTTTTAATATTTATTTATTTAATTAGATATCGTGCTATATTAGGTATGTGCTCCGCATTTAGAACGGTAATGAGTTACAAGCACTATTACTTTAAGAATATTTTAAAATCGTCGCTTGGTAACATACTTTTGAACTTTTGGATTAAATTAATGAGAATTCCATCAAATTTCAATATTTGAAGTAAGTGTACCATAGTTGTTTAATTAGCTGACTAATTACAAGGTCAACTACATTTAGACTTAAGAATTTAACATTTAGTTTAAGATGTTAATTATCGTATTTAGAAATATATATATATTTTAGAGAAATTACATCTAGATCTTGCTAGATATAGACATCTATATAATGGATACGTTTTCAGATACGCATGTGTTATAACGAGGTTTTAAAATATTTCAACTGTTTTTGTAACGACTTAGTACTTGGCAAACACGAACGTTTCATTGACGTTTTCTAGGTAATAAGGTGATTAGCCTTCTGCTAGTCGAGATAGATAGACTATTGTGCTGATCGTTTAGCTCAGAAATAATATTGCTAGTATTTATAAACATCCTATGACCTCTCTGAATGAGTATTTTTTTTTATTTTCGATTTTATTTTCATTGTGCTTTTTTTTTCACGTCTTTAAGATATGTGTTATCTTTTTTATGTATTAGTTATTTTTTATTGACTTACCTAATCAACATTAGCTACGTTACACATGTCACGTTCCGCTTATATATAATATAATTTCTTAATGTTAACCATATAGGGACACTTACCTGTGTCAATCTTTAGATTTAGCTATCGATTAGCAAAAATCAGAGCAGCACATTGGATAACGAAGTTGCACTTTCGAAATACGGTTCACACTCTCGTCTCTTCAAAACCGCGCAAGTTTCCCAACGTACCGTGTCACTTTCGTACTGTTTCTGACTGGATCGTATTCACTTGTGGTTATAGTAACTCTAACTGAACACTGGTATTGGTTTAATCGACATCACACAAGGAAGGTAACTGATACTAGAAACATTTCCCAACGGCGTTTGTGTGAGAGCTGAAAATCACGCACTATAATAATGACACATGATCCACTTGAGGGTAAACTTAAAACTCTCGTTATGGTACCGAAAATATCATAGAGAAAAAACACGGTAATCATTTACCTAGAGAAAACTGAAAAATTATAATGGACGAAACAAAAACCAATAAATGCCAAATGTTTACTTAAATAATTGGTGCGGCGTGTGAAACGAAGGCTAAAGGTGGGCAAACTTACACAGATCCGTGCCAAAAGAAATTTTGTTAAGCAATTAGCGGATAACTGTCATCTGACGATAAGCAAACAAACTTTTTTTCAGAACAAAACTTTTGCATTGCACGTTTCGTAACAGGGCACCACGGAGCATATGTCGTTACATTAAAATCGGCCTAAATCTGTCTGCACACCGCACACACGTGGATACTTAGTTGAAAAATTTCACCGGCGTGAAAAGACTCAAGTTTTCCACGTCCGGCCTTCGCTGCATTGTTATGCAACGGATACCGTATACGCTGCCAAATCGCAAATTTAAGAGCACGAGTTCGGAAAAATTGCAACCGGAAAAATTATAACCTCAAAGTGAAAGCGGCGGAAAGTTTGTCCGTGTTTTACTCTATGATTTTTTCTGGTTTGTCACTGATCACATGTTCGTCGACGTATCGTCGTTTGCTGAGAGCGTGTTCGGGTGTGCGCTCGGCCGGTATCGAGTGGCAACGGAGCGGCATGACGTGACCGCGCCGCGTGAAATCTCGCGCGTTACTGAGCCCGCTTTGCTATCTGAACTCTGGTCCGATACACTTTACGTCTTCAAAAAAGCTCCAACCTATCACTGGGTACTGTCCGCAGCACAAACTAGTTTGCGAATGTACAGTGTGAAAAAGTGACTTTTGGAATTTTTTACTAATTTTGGGTTGTGCCGTTTCGGTTAGCTGGCCATGGTATTGGTTAAATATTTATCGTAACTGAAACGATCACAGGAGTTCACTATGGGGTTATTTGTTGTATTAACAAATTTATATTATTGTTAATATATATAAAAACGAAGAAGGACTAAAATAAAGACAGATGATTAGTAAAGAACCTGAAATCAATGAAAACTTTATTGCACACTTTTTTCTATCATACACTACATGTTCCAAATAATTGACTGGATGTATCACGTAGCTTCACTCGCGTGAATCAGTATATAAACTTTCTTTTAAATTAGAACATAACCTATCCATGCACCAAATTTCATTCAAATCCGTTCAGTAGTTTTTACATGAAAGAGTAACAAACATCCATGCATCTTCCCAGTCTTTCCCATTTACATTTTTATTATTATTTTATTTTTATAGTATTCGTATTTTCTAGAGGAAATTAGAAACTTTATATATTTATTTATAATATATGAGTGGCATAATTTATTTATTTATTAAATACAAGAAATTTACAACGCGAGTACATTAGACCCCACACTAGGCGAAACTGTATCGCGGGAGTCCATATGAGATTACCAAGAAACAGTGATTTACAAATATAAATTAAATTAATAATATTTTTTTTCTTCTCTCTTTCTTCTTTCTTTCTATATACACATACCTTATAAGAATTCCATAAAAAAAACCTAATATTTTTTATAATAAAATTATGGGGTATAATTAAAAATATGTATTAGTTTAAGAAAGAAATAAGATCAGTTCACTTTCAATATCAACCTGTATATTGTAAAAAATAGACTTTAAAGAAATTTAAACCATATTTTACTAACGTATACATATAATATCGTGCCGTGTGGTCCCGGCATAGAATAGGCCACCCCTTCCATTCCCGTAAATATCATAAAAAACGACTAAGGTAACTTAATAGTCGAGGGATAGGTAGAAGCGTTTCTCTTAAAACAACGCCAAAGCCTAAATGCAATTGCCAACCCTGTCTGCCAAGCATGGCACCTACTGGCAAACCCCCCCCCCCCCCCCTATGGAAGAGACCTATGTTCAGCAGTGGACAGTTTTTTTTTTAATGGATGATAATGGAATGGTAACCCCGCCTGCGCTATCGGTATACACTGGCAGGGCACCGGTGAAGAATGATAGGTGAGGATGAAGCAGGTCAGTTAGCCCACCGTGACGAATCTAACAATAAATTAATCACGATGGTTTCCAGGGGGAACCATGAGGAGATCGACCTGGCAGAATATATTGCTAGTAATGGGGCTACTAATCTCCATTACTAACAATCCCTTCTCCCCTATATATATATATATATATATATATATATATATATAACCAGATGGAGACTTTGTACAAAAGTCGTTTTCTTGGGTATTATTCGTGTTTCATCTGTAAAGCAGTTGTGTTTGCATGGCTGTGTTTCGGTTTGAAGGGTGGGATATGGCGTAAATTTACAGGGTACAGAGGAATAACACCTGAATCCTCAGGAATAGTAACGCATGGGGGGTATCATGGGTGAAACAGTATACTCTGTTATGTCCATGGTACTGCTCATATCTATAGGCGATGGTTACCACTTTCCATCAGGTGGACCGTCAGCTTGTTTGCCATTCTAAGTTGTATACAAAAAAAATATACGCGTTAAAATAATTTTCCTTCCAAAATTGCAAATGTATATTACGCCATTCTTAACATCTCTCTACGCCGCCCAAAGAGGCATGCACCTCTCTTCACGGTTGAAACACGAATGGGACAGAGGTACCCAAGCAATCGACTTTTGCTTTTCTCATTCTTACGATGCCGTACGCTGCTGATAGAAGCAGAGCTGTAACCAAGTATGACCAAAATCGTTCAGCGAAACGCGAGGGAGCTGAATAAGTGTGAGTAGTCCCTTAGTCTCCTGCGCTAATTGGATATCTGGAAAGCTTAAAAGTTCTTATCATTTTTCAAATTATACAGTTTAATAAACTATAACTAGTTACACTTTATTTTTTTAATATTCCAATTTTTCAAAAACCTAGTCACAAACGTGTATTATCTATTAACAAAGGTTCAGACACTATTTTGAGTTATCGCAATTTCGCCACTTTATGGACAAGATAATAAAAATCTCAATTTAGATACCGAACGCTTAACATTAGGCTATATACTAGGCTTTGAACAGGGATCTACTAATTTACCTAAAGACGCCCCGTTATTGGATGAAACACGTGTCACAAAACATGCTTGAAAATATTAATCTATTTTCAATTTGACCACAGACTTTAACAATAAACAAAAGAGTATATATGAGTGTGGGAGTCAAATACATGGTAGTGCGTGTAATGTTTATTTTTTTATTGATTTAATGTATTTTTATGTGTATTTATAAAAATATATTATCATTCTTCACTCCTTCTGTATATAAACTATAAGTGTGCCAAATTTCATACTACTCCGTCCGCGCGATTTTCGTAAAAAGGGGTACAAAGTTTTTGTTTCACGTATTAATAGATGACTTGGCAATTGCACGGCAGCATATTCCACTAAAAAAATACTTTATTCTAAAGTGCACTGTTTAGAATTACTTAGTAATCGAAATAATAGCTCTTGTATAAAATTACTGTTTTTTTTTTATTCAATTTACAATGGCAAACAAGCTGACTGGCCCACTTTATGGAAAGTGGTAACCGCCGCCTATAGACATGAGCAGCACCATGGACATAACAGAGTATACTGTTTCGCCCATGATACCCCCCATGCGTTGCCATTTCTGAGGACTCAACATTGTTTCATAATATATATATATATATATATATATATATATATATATATATATATATATATATATATATATATATATATATATATATATATATATATATATATATATATATATATATATATATATATATATGACGACAAGAAATCTGTAGTAAATGTGACTACGTAAGTATGACTCATCACTTGACTAAGCTTCTCTCATTAAACTGAAGCTATTTTTTTTAATGGATGATAATGGAATGGTAAGCCCGCCTGCGCTATCGGTATACACTGGCAGGACATCAGTGAAGGGTGATAGGTGAGGATGGAGTAGATCAATTAGCTCATCGCGGCGAATTCAACAAGAATTGTTCACGATGGTTTCCAGGGGGAACTGTCGTAGTTAATTCTTGATAAAATTGTCACTATGGGTCAACAAACCTGCTTTCATCATCCCCCGCTAGTGCTCAACCAGCGTATATAAATTGAGCAGGCAGGGTTACTTCTTCGTTTTTGTCCCACACAAAAGTCTTCATTTGTAGCTAAACCAGTTATTTTGATTTTAAAATTAAACCACTAAACCGTTTTTAATAAAATTTCTACAAGACCAATTTATAAGTATAACCTTTCATATAAAGGAAAACTATTCCAAGTCGATTGACAACTGACGGAGTTACGAGGTAACAAACATAACAAAAAATCCAATCGAAAAGAGAATCTCTTTTTTTAGAAGTCGGTTAAAAAAGAACAGTGACATGTTACATTCATGTTTCAGAAACACATGGACAACAAACAAATTTTACAACCTACACTTAGTTTTATAGGCTAGTGGCTTACCACGTTTCGCCTTGCGCTAATTCATTCCCGTGGGAATCTGTACGACAAAAAATATAAGCTAAATAAATATAGCCTTCCAGCTTTTACCCGCGACATTGCCAGCATTTTTTATGCAACTTAGAATGGCAAACACACTGACTGCCCACCTGATGGAAAGTGGTAACTGTGGTCTGTAGACAGGAACGGTACCCGCATGATCGAGATGTGTTCAATGATCAGGACAAAAAAAATTATTGGGCTAGTTCTAGATTCTATGAATTCTTTCCGTTATTGGGAGGTCTTGCTTGCTTTTTTTTTAAGTTTTTCTGTTCTCATGTATATGAATATTATAATTTTTTGATATGATATGTGGAGTGAATTATATTGATAACGTTGAGTAACATATTGGGTTTTTATTTAGCCCCCCGTAGGAGTGCAGCTTGTTCTCAGGTATTAATTTCCAGGTTTATTTAGCTAATTTTATTTCCTTCTAAGTTTTCCTCGCTCTTTACTACCATGTTTCCTTCATTCCTCATTTTTCAATTCACTTTTTCCCATTTGTTGTAACGATCTTATTGGTTTATTTCAGATTTCCGTTGATTTTTGTCCTCAATTTGAATCAGTTTTGGTTTGTCGAAGAACCACAGTCCCTCGGCATAGTGTTATTTTTATTGTACGGTACCGTCCACATCCTCGCATATGAATCAGTTTTGTGTTCTATTATTCTCAGGTACAATATCGTTCTGTTCTTTTATTTATTTTTGTGTGTTGTCTTTATTTTCCAGTTCTGACATATAAGGTTTAACCTAATGGGTATTTATATATTTTTTTATTATTTCAGCCATTAACCGTCCACTGCTGGACATTAACTTTCCCCGTAAGGGGAGTTTTGCTAGTAGTTGCCACGGGTTGGCAACCCGCTTGCCAAGCTTTAGACTTTTAGAGATGTTGCCGTCCACCCTCGCCCTCCCTTAGTCGCCTCTTACGACACCCACGAGAAAGGTAGGAGCGGCCCATTCTATGCCGGGGCACACACAGCATATTTATATTATGGTAAGTATATTCAATATTACGATATAAATTAATTCAGTTTTTTTTTTTACTCCGATGCATTTTTTTTCTTTTTTTTTCCTTTTTTTTTCAGCTGCGAATCTTCGGTCGTAGCTGCAAGGTCGGCAGTACACATGCCGACTGTACGGAAATAGAGGTCCATAGCCGAGCACGCAATCTCTACACTGTCCGGTTGCGCACCCGATGATCTTTTGA